CACACACACACACACACACACACACACACACACACATATATATAGTTGCACAAAGAATGAGTGTTGTTAATGATACATGTGAGAACACAATGCAAATGGCATTTCAGTGTCAGGGTGTGGTTGAGGTAAACATCCAAGAGGGAAGGAGGAGATGCCAGGATGTAGGCGTGGCCAGAGGATAATCACTAGTGCATGTGTGGGCGTGGCTGTGTGTCTGCGTGTGCTCCGAGTGACGGGGTTAATGGACAATGACGAAGACACGTAAGCGAGGCGCGGACTCGGCCATGGCGTCCTGCCGTGGAAAGGCCCCTTACCCTGTAGTAGTCGGTGCTGTAGACGTCCCGGGACATGCCGAAGTCTCCGATCTTCACCAGCAGGTTGGCCCCCACCAGGCAGTTCCGGGTGGCCAGGTCCCGGTGCACGAAGTGCTGGGAGGCCAGGTAGACCATGCCCGAGGCGATCTGGCTGGCGATGTGCAGCATCTGCGAGAGTCCCAGCTCGCCTTTCGCCTGGCGCGGCTGCCCGTCCACAAGGATCATGGCGTCTGGCCCGTGGGCCCTGCGGGGGTCGGGGAGAAGCGAGGGGCAGAGAGAATTCAGGAGGTTTCTGGAATGCTCCACAGCAGTGCATGCCATCTCCCTTTTCAGCCGACTATGGCCTATTTCTGTCTACAGCAAAATGTATTGTGTGAGTGCAGACGTGGGCGAAACACTGATCCAGATTCCACACGAAGACGACAGCAGATGTGCTCCAGGGGTCAGGGAACAACCCTTCTCTTCTAGACTCCTTCATTTATATCTAGGGTTGCCCAGGTGCTAGAGGTCTAATATAGAATATTTAATAAAACCCAGACTAACACTTACATGGCCCTTACTCTGTTCCATGCACTGCTCCAAGTATCTTAAATATATTCATTCACTTAATCCTCCCACCTCAATTCTGAGATAAGAAAACTGAGGCACAAAGTGATCACATCACCTGGCCAACGTCACAGAGATCTCAGAGGGAACACAGGGGTGAGCAGGAGCAGAGGAAGCCAGACATGTGGCTCAGGAGCATCAAGAGGGCTTGTTAATCAGCTCCCTGGGCCCCACCCCCAGGATTCTGATTGGCTAGGTGGAGCTAGTTCATTTGCATTTCCTACAGGCTCCCAGCAGTGATGCTCTGGGTAGGAAGACTCCTGAGTCCACTCTCTGGACCACACACACGGCCTAGGACTGGGGGACTCTGTTGGTGGCTGGTCCCAGTGACAGAGCCCCCAGGCCTATGGCCCCAAAGCAGGGATGAAGGCCTGAATCCAGCAGCTCAGGAGCTGATGCAGAAGAATGGAAGGCTGCTTCTCACGTCTAACCCCTGGACCTATGTGCTCAAAGGCACAAATATAACTGCTAGTTCCAGAGAGGATGCCCGGGGTTGGGGGGGTGGTGGTGGAGCGGGGGGAAGGGGTCAGGGCTCACCGCAGGAACTTGTTCAGGTCTCCGTGCTTCATGTACTCAAACACCATGATGAGCGGGTCCCCATCGCCGCACACGCCATAGAACTTGACGATGTGCTCGTGCTGCAGGTTGGTGAGCAGCTCCGCCTCCCTCTGGAAGTCCTTCCGGGCGGCCAGGGTGGGGTCCTTCAGGGCCTGGGAACGAGATAGGACAAAGGCGTTTAGCAACCAGAGGACAGGGATCTGCCTGACCCCCTCCTGAGAAGGAGCCTGGTGCTCAGAAGAAAGGCCTGCTTGTGCCCAACGAAGAAGATTGTTTTGTTGTTGTTAATCCACTGAGGAAATTTTTCCATTGATTTTTAGAGAGAGTGGAAGGGAGGGGGAGAGACAGAGAGAAACATCGATGTGAGAGAGACCCATCGAATGGTTGCCCCCCGAATGTGCCCCGACCAGGGCCGGGGACCGGGCCTGCAACTGAGGTACGTGCCTCTGACCAGAATCGAACTTGAGACCCTTTAGTCCACGGACCGACACTCTACTCGCGGAGCCAAGCCGGCTAGGGCCCAACGGATGAGATCTGAATCGGGGTTTAAAGGCCACAAGGCCAGGCCTGACCCTTCCACCTTCAGCACTGTCATCCCTGAGGAACCAGAAACCAGCTTCCTGACACCGTCTCAGACACCAGCCAATGACTAGCGTGAAAGGCGGAGGGCGGGGCCGCAAGGTGGGAGGCCTGACAGAGGCCCTGTCCCCTCAGGTTCCCTGGAAGAAATGGTCCCTCGGCTGAAATAAACAGGGAAAACCTGCCCCAAGCACTTGAGCTTCGTAAGGTCGCCTGTGCCAAGTTTACCCAAAACCAGGCAACTTGATCAAGTCCGTGACTTTAGATGGTGACAGAGTGTATATGTGCAGAGAAACGTCGATGGCACTTGTGTCCTCCTAGGAGGGGCTGAGGGAGCGTTTGGGGTGGAGGTCAGGGGCTGCAGCCATGGGAACGGCAGTCAATAGGCAGAAGAAGCCTGAGGATCCGTAGGACCAGGTAAAGCACCGCAAAGTCCCAGGTAGGATGGCAGGGTGGGCACCTGTGGCCACCCAGATGCCACCGCTCAGCCCCTGTGGGAGTGGGAGACCCTGGGTGAGGGGTAGGCGTCGGACCAGGCCACTCGCCCCAGGGCCCAGAACGATAAAAGGAGGAGGGGTGGTCAGTTGTAAATGCGGGTTTTCGGCACCAGGAGGAGAGGGTGAGGCCAAAGCAGGAAAGTGTGAGACATCCCAGGGGCCCTGCTAGGGCCCGGCCCTGGGGATGCGGCGCTGGCAGCCGCCATGGAGCGAGCTGTGAAGGGGGGCGGGGGTGGGGCAGTGTTTCTGCAGGAGGAGCAGCTGGGCAGGTGCGCTCACACCTTTCTCCGGCCTCCCACCCTCCCCACACCCGCCTGCTTCCGCTGACACAGAATAGTAACCTCAACAGACACAACAGGAGGCAGGGACGGGGGGAGTGTGACGTTCTCGCACCATTTCAGGTCAGTGAGAAGCGAGACACGGGGAGATTGGTCTGCAGAGTCCTCTCTGCCATGACCTGTCCTTTTCTGGTCATGTGGGCAGACTGACCTCCCTGCAGAATGGAGATCGTGCTGTTACTAAAAGGCCTGGCCAGATCTCTCCCTCTCTCTCTCTCTCTCTCTCTCTCTCTCTCTCTCTCTCAGCAGCAAACCCCTTTATCTGAAATCCACATGGCTGCCTGGGCTTACAGCACTTCAGGGATGTGAACATGCAAACACTGTACTTAGGAGGCCCATCAATGCTGTCAGTCATTAGCATACATTAGAGACCAGATGGTGGACTCTCAGCATGAAAAAGGCCTGAGGTGTCATCTGCTTTCACCTGCTCAAGTCTCAGGTTGGAGAAACAGAGGCCCAGCCTTGTCCAGATAGCAACTTAGATGACACGTTTTCAATGCCAGCTGAGCTGGGCCTCAGCCGTCTCCTGGTCTCTGGTCTCCAGGTCAACGGCGAGGCCTCTAGGAGGGCTCTCTCCCGAAGGACCACGGTCTCCTGACCAGAGGTTAAGTCCCACTGCAAATGCAACCAGCACCACCGTTCCTTCTTTTCAAAATAGCTTGATTAAATGGCCCCGCTGCTGACCAAAATGCCGGGCGTCATCTCCTGTGAACTTTCCCGTTTTACAGGTGAGAAAACGGAGGTCCAGCAGGAGGAGGTGACTCGCCAAAGACCACGAAAGGAGGCCTGGCTGCTCCTGCCCAGCACACCTGCTTGGATTCATGTATCAGGCGAAGGAGTCACTAGGCAGGGCCTCAGCGGAATGGTGGGCAAGAAGTTAAAAGATGGGGAAGAGGAGAGGGCGGGGGAAGCTGAGTGTGGGCTCCAGCAGAGGGGCTGGGCCCAGCGAGGATGCCAGGCTCGCAGGGCCGGCCAAGGCCGGAGGCGAGACGGGCGTCCACCGGCCCATTGCTCATTTCACCAGCTCTGAGGCCAACAACCAGAACAAAGGCATCTGCAAGATGCTGTGGGTGGGAGAAGGCCGAGGGCGCCTCTCTCGCTGACCCAGCCCCTGGCTGCGGCCCTGAACTCCATGTGCGGGGGCGTGGGTATAGGATGGCTGCCAGTGATTATTTATGTTCATGAAGAACAAGAGGGGGAAAGGAACCCAGCATGGGTGGGATGGGAGAATACAAAGATTTATGTGAGCCCTGGGTTTGTGAGAGGGAAAAGCAGATCACATCTGGGGCCAGCCCAGTGGCCTCTCTCCATCCCTGTAAATCATTCTCGCGCACAGTCCTGGAGGCCAAAGGCGGCCGTTGGATATTTCCGCTCCCAGCACTCCAGCAGTGCCCGCCAGTGTGCCCGGGGCTGGCACCCTGCAAGGCACCAGGAGATGAGGCACAAGGCAACCGCGATCGCCCGTAGTCTGCCCACAACCATTCACCACGGATGTCCAGCTCCTGGGTCACACCTGAAGTGCTTATGTAATTGGCAAAGGGTTGTGCTCAGCAAACGGGGGGCCGGGGGCCAGGACTGACACCATTGGGGCAGAGATGACCTGAGGAGGAGAATTAGGAGGAAAACCACTGACACTCCCTAGCCCCTCTCCAGGGGGTCCTCTTCCGAGCAGAACTTCAAAATGGGTCACCGGGTGGTGGCACCGGGATTCGGGGAGATGGGTCAGGCTGAGGGGTCTCTGAAGCCCTTCGAGCAGGATCCGTAGAACAAACAGCGGAGCCGGAATTCGGCCCCTTGCCTACCTCTCTTCCCCCGAAGTTCGAGGACTCTGCCCTTTCTGGGCTTCCCCTCTGGGCATCAGCTCCCTTTCACCCCAAGTCCTGGGTTTTGAGGGTCTGTTCAGTCAGATGGGAGGGAAGCTGTCTAAATGGTCAGAACACTAGCCTGGCAGGCGTGGCTCAGTGGTTGAGTGTCAATCTATGAACCAGGAGGTGACAGTTCGATTCCCGGTCGGGGCACATGCCCGGGTTTCGGGCTCGATCCCCAGTGTGGGGCATGCAGGAGGCAGCCCATCAGTGATTCTCTCTCATCAGAGATGTTTCTTTCTCTCCCTCTCCCTTCCTCTCTGAGACCGACAAAAATAGATTAAGAAAATCAAGGAGGTATTTAGCAAAAACAGGGAGAAATAAGATAGCAATAAAATTAAGACCCAATTAGATATCTTGGAAATAGATTACACAGTCACTGAGGCTAAAACAGAAACTGCCACAGAAGAGACGCAGTGTACACTGGATGAAACCACAGGGAGAATCGCGGCTGAAGACGCTGAGGTGCCCGGGAACAGAGCATGGAGAGACAGAGGGGGCAGGAATGACAGTGGCCAGGGTCTCACTCCCTCGTGGGTGGAGGAGAGGAGTTGCCTGGCTGTGAATTCGCTCCACCACCGACCCCCTTGTCCCTCGGTGCCTCCCTGTCCTCTGTACAATGGGACTGTGACCGGGTGGGCTCTAAGCTTGTTGTGAGAATGAAGCGTGAACCGGCACACGTCACCTACAGCAGGACCCTGGTGAGTACTGTCTGTCAGATGCCGTTGTCACGGTCACCATCACCACCGCTGGGCCCACGGGGCACCCAAGGGTGTGGCATCCCAGAGCGCCCATCTCCTCCGGGTTCCCAGGCCCAAGGGGAGAGGAAAGCCTTCCAAAGGGAGGAAAGCAGAAACACATTTTCTGCATTACCCAGCGCCGGGCCCTGCGCGGGGATCAGTTCCCAGGGTTTCAGGCCATCACTTCATTTCCTGCTCAGAGCCCAGAAATGTTCCGTTCCTTCGCCAGTTCCCAGACGGCACTGCAGCGCCCAGCGGATGAGTGTCATCCTATAAATTAGGATTCAGGGCAGCGCAGACTCTAAGTTTAGGGATAAAATTAGAAACCTTCCCACATCCCTGGTGCAAGCCACGGGAAGACCCCTGTCTCGTCTGACCGCCCCGGGTCTATGGAGACCCACAGCCAAGTCCATTTCCAGGACGTCCAGCAGTAACCACCATTGACCTTCCATGGGGCAACACTCTGCTTTCTTATTTATTTCTAGAGCAGAGCTTGGCAGACAATGCCTCGTTTTATTTAAAACGTGACTGGACAACAGCCATCACCACTGGTTTACTCAGCCTCGGTGAGGTTACTTGACTTTTTTTTTTTTTTGGAAAATTTATTTTTATTGATTTCAGAGAGAAAGGGACAGGGAGAGAGAGATAGAAACATCAAAGATAAGAATCATGAATTGGCTGCCTCCTGTACAGCTCCTACTGGGGATCGAGCCTGAAACCCGGGCTTGCGCTCTGACCCAGAATCGAACCGTGACCTCCTGGCTCATAGGTACAGGTCCTACTGGGGATCGAGCCTGAAACTCTGGCTTGTGCCCTGACCCTGAATCCAACCGTGACCTCCTGGCTCATAGGTCGACGCTCAACCACTGAGCCACACCAGCCGGGCTTGACTCTTGTTTGTGCCAATCATGTTCAGCGATCTGTCCAACACTGATTTACTGCAGGAGGACCCAGGGGGCGAGCAAAGGCACTCGCTACAGCTCCAAGCGATGCGGCTTGAGCTGCAGAGCTGCACGGCTGGCTCAGCATGGAGCAGCCCTGCGGTGAATGGACCCCTCCCGCAGCTGCCAGCAGGCAGTCACCCGCAGGCACGCGCCCTCTGGGCTCGGCACCTGGATCCCGTGGGGGCACTAAGAATCCTTTCTACCCTCACTCGCTGCTCTCCCTGCTCAGTACCTGACACCCTCCCCTCTCCTGTTCCCAGTGATGGCTGGTGCCCTTGAGCAGCGGCTCCAGGGCGTCTCGAGCCCACCCTCTCCCAAGTCTCCTCAGAGAGTTGGTCAGGTGACTTTCCAGGCCCCTACAACGACAACACCTCCTGCGAGGTCACCGAGGAGGGAGGAGGAACACCCTCCTGGGGACGGGAGTGAGCCCCGGGCGTCCAGAATGAAACCAGGGCCTTTCCCAGGCAAAACCTGCTCCTTATGTGTGTGTGACAGCTCTGGACCTTTGACGCCAAAGCAAGTGGGTGTGGGTCCCAAGGACAGTTCATTGACCTTGGAGCAAGGGCCCGATGGCATGCGGAGGAGGGAACCTCTCCTTCCTGCTCCCCAGCCGCCCCCCCCCCCTCCACCACCACCTTCCTGGCCCCACACGCTCTGGGGTTCACCTTCACGGCCACCAGCATCTTGTCCTTGGTCGGGCTGAGGTTGTAGCACTCGGCCAGGAAGACCTTCCCAAAGGCGCCCTCGCCCAGTTCCCGCTTCAGCACGATGTCGCGCCTCTTGATGTGCTGCACGTCTGTGGAGGGACAGAGAGGGGCGGCCGAGTCAGTGCTGTCCTCCTTAGAGGCCTGGGGTGGGGGAGCACGGGGGCCCAGAGCAGGGAGCCCCGCTTCGGAGTCCGCGGCAGGCGAGGGAGGCTCGGGCAGCACCCCGCCTTGGGCGGGGAGACGGCTTCTCACTGTGGAGTGGAAGTCGGACCCGGAATCACATTCCAGCTCTGCCTGACACCCCCCTAGGTCTCTAGACCGCAGCTGGGAAACAGCCCACGCCAGTGAGTGCACAGGATTCTGGGGGAAGGAGCTGTGGTGACTGTGCAGGGAATGCCCTGGGCTTGGGGCGGATCCCGGCGCAGGGGGCCTGAGCGTCTGCATTTCGAACAGACTCCAGGTGAGGGCCACGTGCCCTGGGTCCATAGGCTGCACTGCGGATTGTGAGTTCTCTGGAGTATTTAAGAGTCGGGTTTGAATTCTGGCTCCGCCTCTTTGCTCGTTTCTTGAGCTTGGCATCGTTATTTCCCCCCAGAGCCTCGATTTCCTCGCCTGGGAAATGGGATCAACACCAACACCTTCCTTGCTGAGCTTTTGTGGCGATGAAGCGAGCTAATCCATAGGCAGAGCCTGGCCCAGTGCCGGGAGACACTACAGGCAGACACACCTGCACACACACGCGGACACACGCTGGCTCTTGTTATAATGGCGGGCACAACCCCGACACAAGGTCGGGACTGAGATAACGACTGCCACGTGTACTATTTGGGAAAAGCCTCTCCCTGACAAACCCTCCTCGGAGGGAAAGACCAATGAGATCACGAACGCCAAGTCCAGAAAGAGAACCCAGAACCAGGGTCTGTGCACAGAGCGGGCTTGCCAGGGGCCCGGCTCATTCAGCAGCCGGGTTAAAGTCTGCCTTCCCTGGGGAGCAGGAGGGGACCTCAGCCCCCCACCTCTGTGGAAAGGCGCTGGAACAGTGGATCTCAACCTTCTGGCCCTTTAAATACAGTTCCTCATGTTGTGACCCAACCATAAAATTATTTTCGTTGCTACCTCATAACTGTCATGTTGCTACTGTGATGAATCGTCATGTAAATATCTGATATGCAGGATGGTCTTAGGCGACCCCTGTGAAAGGGTCGTTCAACCGCCAAAGGGGTGGCGGCCCACAGGTTGAGAACCGCAGCGCTAGAAGAAGTGGGCGGTGAGGAAAGGCGCGAGCCAGTAATTGCTCACCGGCCTCTCCGTTACCTGGTCAACAGGCAGGCGCCCATTAAATGCCCGTATCAGCGTCAGGAAGAGCGTGGCCGAGCCAGGAAAGAGGACTGGCTCAAATGGCCTGGCCGAGAGAGGACAGCGGAAGACGGAGGCCCACGGTACACTGACCCGTGAGTTTGAGGAGACACAGGACAGGGACAGAGGGGTGTGGCTGCGAGGCTTCGGTCACTGTTTCGGTTGGCTTTGGCGATTCCTTTCAGAATAGACAATAAATTTCTCATTTCCTATCAGAGTGCCTGGTGTCCCCGCCAGGTCCGGGATGGCCCGCGGGTGAGGAGCTGTGGGAGCAAGTGGCTTGGCTGCCCGGGCACACGCTGATGCTCTGGAGTCTGGCCCCATCTCAGCCACCGGCTGGGGACCCCTGACTTGGCCCTTGCTTCCCCTTCTTGCCAAAGAACGTCAACAGCCATGAAAACACCAGAACGCACTGGTATCTCAGAGGACGCCAAGGGTTACAGACCTTTACACACGCCAGCTGACTGGGACGGGGGGCCCGAACGGAACAGGGGGCAGGTGACCACGTGACGAGAAAGTTGTCTGCTCTCGGCAAGCATGAAGCAGACCGCCCCCCAACCTCCACGGACCCCAGTGCCGGCCCCACAGCTGCAGGTGGATCGTTCCACAGGGAGGAGCCCGTTCAGAGACGTGGAAACACCCAGCAGCTCAGAATAAAAAGGCTGGGCTCACGGGCAGCAGAGGGAAGTGTCTGTAGAGCAACCCCTGAGCTTGGGCCACACGGGGGTGGGGAGATGTGAGAGGGGGTAGCAGGAGGACTAGGACGTGAAAACCGACTCCATCCCATCGTAAGTCCTCCCAGGAGAGAACTTCCGCCCAGCTCTCCTTCCTGCTCCCCAGCCGCCCCCCCCCCATCCACCACCACCTTCCTGGCCCCACACGCTCTGGGGTTCACCTTCACGGCCACCAGCATCTTGTCCTTGGTCGGGCTGAGGTTGTAGCACTCGGCCAGGAAGACCTTCCCAAAGGCGCCCTTCCTGGCCCCACACGCTCTGGGGTTCACCTTCACGGCCACCAGCATCTTGTCCTTGGTCGGGCTGAGGTTGTAGCACTCGGCCAGGAAGACCTTCCCAAAGGCGCCCTCGCCCAGTTCCCGCTTCAGCACGATGTCGCGCCTCTTGATGTGCTGCACGTCTGTGGAGGGACAGAGAGGGGCGGCCGAGTCAGTGCTGTCCTCCTTAGAGGCCTGGGGTGGGGGAGCACGGGGGCCCAGAGCAGGGAGCCCCGCTTCGGAGTCCGCGGCAGGCGAGGGAGGCTCGGGCAGCACCCCGCCTTGGGCGGGGAGACGGCTTCTCACTGTGGAGTGGAAGTCGGACCCGGAATCACATTCCAGCTCTGCCTGACACCCCCCTAGGTCTCTAGACCGCAGCTGGGAAACAGCCCACGCCAGTGAGTGCACAGGATTCTGGGGGAAGGAGCTGTGGTGACTGTGCAGGGAATGCCCTGGGCTTGGGGCGGATCCCGGCGCAGGGGGCCTGAGCGTCTGCATTTCGAACAGACTCCAGGTGAGGGCCACGTGCCCTGGGTCCATAGGCTGCACTGCGGATTGTGAGTTCTCTGGAGTATTTAAGAGTCGGGTTTGAATTCTGGCTCCGCCTCTTTGCTCGTTTCTTGAGCTTGGCATCGTTATTTCCCCCCAGAGCCTCGATTTCCTCGCCTGGGAAATGGGATCAACACCAACACCTTCCTTGCTGAGCTTTTGTGGCGATGAAGCGAGCTAATCCATAGGCAGAGCCTGGCCCAGTGCCGGGAGACACTACAGGCAGACACACCTGCACACACACGCGGACACACGCTGGCTCTTGTTATAATGGCGGGCACAACCCCGACACAAGGTCGGGACTGAGATAACGACTGCCACGTGTACTATTTGGGAAAAGCCTCTCCCTGACAAACCCTCCTCGGAGGGAAAGACCAATGAGATCACGAACGCCAAGTCCAGAAAGAGAACCCAGAACCAGGGTCTGTGCACAGAGCGGGCTTGCCAGGGGCCCGGCTCATTCAGCAGCCGGGTTAAAGTCTGCCTTCCCTGGGGAGCAGGAGGGGACCTCAGCCCCCCACCTCTGTGGAAAGGCGCTGGAACAGTGGATCTCAACCTTCTGGCCCTTTAAATACAGTTCCTCATGTTGTGACCCAACCATAAAATTATTTTCGTTGCTACCTCATAACTGTCATGTTGCTACTGTGATGAATCGTCATGTAAATATCTGATATGCAGGATGGTCTTAGGCGACCCCTGTGAAAGGGTCGTTCAACCGCCAAAGGGGTGGCGGCCCACAGGTTGAGAACCGCAGCGCTAGAAGAAGTGGGCGGTGAGGAAAGGCGCGAGCCAGTAATTGCTCACCGGCCTCTCCGTTACCTGGTCAACAGGCAGGCGCCCATTAAATGCCCGTATCAGCGTCAGGAAGAGCGTGGCCGAGCCAGGAAAGAGGACTGGCTCAAATGGCCTGGCCGAGAGAGGACAGCGGAAGACGGAGGCCCACGGTACACTGACCCGTGAGTTTGAGGAGACACAGGACAGGGACAGAGGGGTGTGGCTGCGAGGCTTCGGTCACTGTTTCGGTTGGCTTTGGCGATTCCTTTCAGAATAGACAATAAATTTCTCATTTCCTATCAGAGTGCCTGGTGTCCCCGCCAGGTCCGGGATGGCCCGCGGGTGAGGAGCTGTGGGAGCAAGTGGCTTGGCTGCCCGGGCACACGCTGATGCTCTGGAGTCTGGCCCCATCTCAGCCACCGGCTGGGGACCCCTGACTTGGCCCTTGCTTCCCCTTCTTGCCAAAGAACGTCAACAGCCATGAAAACACCAGAACGCACTGGTATCTCAGAGGACGCCAAGGGTTACAGACCTTTACACACGCCAGCTGACTGGGACGGGGGGCCCGAACGGAACAGGGGGCAGGTGACCACGTGACGAGAAAGTTGTCTGCTCTCGGCAAGCATGAAGCAGACCGCCCCCCAACCTCCACGGACCCCAGTGCCGGCCCCACAGCTGCAGGTGGATCGTTCCACAGGGAGGAGCCCGTTCAGAGACGTGGAAACACCCAGCAGCTCAGAATAAAAAGGCTGGGCTCACGGGCAGCAGAGGGAAGTGTCTGTAGAGCAACCCCTGAGCTTGGGCCACACGGGGGTGGGGAGATGTGAGAGGGGGTAGCAGGAGGACTAGGACGTGAAAACCGACTCCATCCCATCGTAAGTCCTCCCAGGAGAGAACTTCCGCCCAGCCCTGGGGGGAAGAGGCTCCAATAGGACTCCGGACCCCAGGCCACCATTGCGGCAGCTGCTTTCCCTGAACTTAGGTAGGAAGAAGGGGGTAAAGGGAATCCATCTGTGCCCAATCCTACTATTGGCTCGACTTTCGATTCTCATGAGAGATGCGTGTTATTGCGCCCCTTTTACAGATGGAAAAATGGAGGCAGGGGTAACGTTCCAAAGTCCCCAGAGCTAAAACACGGCTAAGGAAGGGCTCTTTCTTCTTCTCGTGGCTCCGAGCCTGCGTTCTTTCCATTACTCGAAACTGCACGTCCTGTGAATTCCTTCTTTGTGGCCACCAAGAGGACGCTGTCCACAGCAGCTCAACCCTCCATCTCCCCTGCTTCTCCTGCCCAGCTGCTCACCTGCGCATCCTGGGACTCTAGTGCAGCATCTGCCCGAGGGGAAGGGTGGGCGCCCTTCCTGGAGGCCCGGGGAGGAGGGGGTGGGAGGGAAGAGCGTGGGAGGAGAGGCTGGGGTGGGCCGTTTTCTTTTCTGAGGTCCAAGCGTCTATTCGGGCCTCTTTCTGGGCTTATTTTTAGCTCATGCAGTACTGCTCCGAGCTGCCCCACATGCTAGAAGTGATGGATTTTCCTGGGAGGAGAGGGCATCAATCTCCTTTTACTGCCCGGCTGGCTGGCCCAGCAGAGTCTGGGTCACAGAGCTCAGACGCCGGGACACTGGTAGGGGAGGAGGAGAGGGGGCCGCACAGCCCAGGCGTGGGAAGGCCTCCCAGTCTCCAGCGATGCGGGGTGGCTGGAGCGAGAACAGGCCCGGCAGACAGGGAGGAGGCGTCTCGGGGAGATGAAAGGGTCTCAGGCACTTTGGGGCCCGGCTTTTCCCAGACTCCTCTTTGCAAGAGAGCCACGGACTGCGTTCCCCCGGAGGAAGCCACGGGAGCGCTTCTCGTCACCATCGGACAGCAGGTTCATCAGACAAATACAGAAGGAGAATTTCTGCATCTCCGTCACCACTCCGTCCGAGGGCCAAGATGGCGATTCCGTGTGTGTGGGAGTCACTCCTGGGAGGTCGCCCAGGCCGGGAGCAAGCCTGGCCGAGGGCAGGGTCGCTAACCCGAGATGCCACCAGCCACCTCTGTACAGCAGACCTCAGAGCCCTGAGAGGTCAGAGGGCAAGCTGGGGTCAGCCCCTCTCCTGCCTCTGTTCACCTGCAGCACCTTCTGTGACCTGCACAGGTCAACCCACTGGACAGACAGACGTGGCCAGAGACACAGGTGACCACTGTTGGCCTCACTTCTATGTTCTTAGAAGATGGAAGTGTGACAGGCAGAAATCACTCAGTCCTGCTGACCAGGGATGAAGAGGCATAACACCCCCACAAAACGGTATTACTGAACGAGTGAGGACTTGGGGAAAGAGACAGGTCTGTGTTCAAATCCTGACCCTGCACCGTATCCTCCCTCCAACTCGGTTCCTGGGAATATGAGCATCTGTGGGCAGAGCTGTTCAGAGGATGGACTTATGACTTTTAGATAACAGATAATAGGAAGTATCTGAAACACAATGGGCATTTAACACAAGTAGGTTTCCTTCCTTTCTGTGATATTTTCATCTAAACTAGGAGATAAATGTACCTGCGAACAAAATGGTGGCTTGGAAAGAACCTTAGACAAGGATGGTGATATTCCCTGGAAATAAAGTGGCCTGAGGTTGCTCAGAGGGGAGCCAGCACCTGGCCGGTGTGGCTCAGTGGTTGAGCATTGACCTATGAACCAAGAGGTCGTGGTTTGATTCCCGGTCAGGGAACATGTCTGGGTTGTGCGCTTGATCCCCAGTGTGGGGCCTGCAGGAGGCAGCCGATCAGTGATTCTCTCTCATCACTGATGTCTCTCTCTCTCCCCCTCTCCCTTCCTCTCTGAAATCATAAAAATAAAAATAAAAAAACAAGAGGGGAACCAGCTCCGACTCAAGGGGTCCTACACAGCCTGTCCAAGCCTGTCACCGCCATGTCCCACCTCCTCCCCCTACAGAGGTCAAAGCAGATGCGGGAGGACGTTGGTCAGACAATGGGATGAAGCCATCAAGACAGAGACAACCGCCTGCCAGAGACGGCTATTGACAGCAGAGAAACCAGCTTTCCCAGCGTCGGCGACTATAAATAATGGCGGGTCGGACTCGGCCGTACGCCAGGCAGCAGCGTCAGTCCCCACAGCCGCCCGCTCCCGCAGGCAGGCCCAGGACGCCGTAGCAGCAGTTCCCTGGCGGTCCTGCAGCTCTGACGGGTGACTGTCCCACGGGGCCATGCGTGTGGCAGCCCTGAGCTGGTCCTCCCCTGAAGGCTGTCCCCGCAGGGACCAGATGCGGGCCCTCCCGGCATCCCTACGGCTGGCCAGGTGCTCTCTCCCCTCATCCCCACAGGCTCTCCTAAGCTCTCGCCTTCCCCTCGTCCCTGGACCACTGTAATTCCTGGTCTCCAGGTGGGTCCCCGCCTCCTTGCTGAGACCGCTCAGATATTTCCCCATCAACTCTACCTTCCTCTGTGCTTGTCTGTTTCACCTTGTCATTGTTCCCTGGTGCCCTTTTAATAAAAACTATTTATTGATTTCAGAGAGAAAGAGAGAGGGAGGGAGAGATAGAAACATCAATGATAAGAGAGAACTATCAATCGGCTGCCTCCTGTTCGCCCCCCTACTGGGGATCGAGTCCACAACTCGGGCATGTGCCCTGACCAGGAATCAAATCGTCACCTCCTGGTTCATAGATCGATGCTCAGCCACTGAGCCACCCCTGCCAGGCCATAGTGTCCTTATTAATAACAAAATAACTGCCACCGAGTGAGCACGTTCCCCGAGCCAGGCACCAGGCTCAGCTCTCAACATGAACTGCCTCATTCATCTTCTCGACTCTCTTAAACACAATGTGTT